AAGATAATCAAAGGATCGCACAAACCGAAATGTGACAGGTGCTACAAATTAATTAGGGGCCCATGAAAGCATATACCTGGGGGACCTACCCTGGTCTTAGAATGTTTATGGGGCGAGGCTATTCCAGGAGGAAGTTCAGAAATGAGAACGGCATTGAAATAGTAAGGGAGGGGGAACATGCAGGAAGCTGAAATAAGTCCAAGTAAAGCGTGACTTTAAATGAAGAATTAGAGGCACCACACGAAACTATCAAACAACGTGACATAATTTAAAGGCTGAAAACACCAGTCCTCATACGAGAACTGTGTCGGAGCTGGCTCGGTTGAAAAGGAGTAGTGGAAACACAAAGAATATTCTACAGACAGTAAAAAGGATGAACGATAGCACTGAGCAGGACATCTGGAACAGGAAAGGAACGGGGAGCATCTTCAAATGGTTAAGTGACTATCTAGTATAGAGAAGATGGGAACCTGTTTTGCACCTTTATAGAATAAGGGGGAAAGTTTTGCTGTAGTGGATTAAGAAAAAATCATCCCCAGAAGACTGCTGGTTTGTGTCTTTTCAACCTGTCCAATCTTACCATGAATTTCACGTTGCTAAGTTTTTCCATGTAGACGAGAGAGAAGCACTGAGCCCATTCCTTGTCAATTATGATGATGATGATCTACACTTTAAATATTTTATGTAAATGTATTTGTTCAGAAGATTCCAATCATCTGTCTGGGAAAATCTCTCATTATGTGAATTTTGTTTCAGAAACAGGATCCCTTCGCACTACACCAATCAGGAAAGTTAAATTCTCTATTTGTTTCTCGAGGCAGCCATGGCACAGGTAAGACAACCTAGGTTTAGCCCAGCAGATGCGACCCGGCAGGATTTCAAATCTTCCCACGTGACACAAAGATGTGGGGACACCTTAGAACTGCTTCTCTCCATGCCTGCCCCTCTCCAACCATGGTTTCTCTAGCCTTCCATCCTCCTGGTGAGCCACTCAATATCCTGCGTATGAGTGAGGGTGCAGATTCAGAGAATCAAAAATAAGTTGCTTAGCCCGGCCGGCATGGCTCAGTGGTTAAGCATCAACCTATGAACCAGGATGTTACACTTTGATTCCCAGTCAGGGCGTATGCCCGGGCTACAGGCTTGATCCCCAGTAGGGGGCGTGCAGAAGGCAGCTTATCAACAGTGTGTACAACAGCCACACTAGCTGCAAGGAAGGCTGGGAAATGTGGTTTGTAGCTGGGAGGCCATGTGCTGAGCCAAACACACTGGGTGAGGACAATTATTAGAAAGAATGGAAGTTTGAATGCTGGGAACTAATCACTGCTATACTTTCCAGAAAACTACATCTCTGCTCAAATGAGACAGAGTTGTTTCTGCTGCTTATAGTTAAAACTTCAGTGATTCAGATCTTTTTAAGGTATGCAAAAGAGAGAAACCCGCAGCCAGTGATGTGGAATTGACTAGGTATGGAGTCTACTTTGAAATTAAATGTTCTTCTGTATTCTGTACATCCTATATAATAAAGCAGTGATATGCAAATTGACCCTCCCACCGTAACACCATCACAAGATGGCGGCAGGCACAGTGGAGGCAGGGCCAGCAGCCACTTTGCACAACTTCTGCCGGGGTTTCCGCAGCCCCGAGTGCACACCACGGGGGTGAGGGCCAGCGGCTTCTGACATGGCCCAGAGATGGGGCATAGGGACGGCACTCCAGAATTTGAGGCCATCCCGCAGTGCACCAGCCACGTGGGGTGAGACTTCAGGACTCGAGGCAGTCCCATGGCATGGGGTAGGGGGGCGGGGAAGGAGGGGTCCCGGGTCTTGCGCGATTTCACATGACGGGTCACTAGTATGAACATAAAGGCTTCTCAAAGTTGCCTTTTTCCCTCCTTTGACTTAATAAGATGTTTACAAACTTTATTATGTGAAAAATGTCACAGAAGCTGGTGAGTCCACAAAGGTCCCCATATTAAAGAGATTAAGTAATCTCTTTAATATGCATATATTATTGCCACATATATATATGACAAAAGTAAACATCAGACAATGAACTTGTGTGCTTTTCAAAATGCCACATTTAGTATTTTCTATATTCTCTGGTACTTTTGTTTTAGGGTTTTGTAAGTGCTTTCTACAGGAAGGGGGGGACAATTGACTCTAATGGTGCTTCTATCCTTAATATATACTTCTGTGTGATCTGGGAAAATGCTTCAAATGCTTTTAAAAAGTGACAGCAGATAGTTAGGAAAGAAAGAGTTAGATGAGAAAGTTCAGGGGGAAAGTAGAGTGTAGGCTGAGCAGCAGTCTTAGGAGGGGGTTCACAGTCAAACCAACCTGAGAAAACGAGATGTGAGGACCAGTGGGACAAGCATACAGAAATATTAGGAAGGGAATTCAAGACTTGACAGCAAGCTAGGCTTTTCCTCTGTGTTCTCATAAAAGAATCTCAATTTCTAGGACACAGCACTGTTTTGTATATTAGCATAGATCCAAACAGAACAACTAAAGTTAACCAACATAAAAGATCCTATATAATAACAGGGTAATATGCAAATTGACTGAACATCGGAACAGCCGGTCGTTATGACGTGCACTGACCACCAGGGGGCAGATGCTCAACGAAGGAGCTGTCCCCTGGTGGTCATTGAACTTCCACAGGGGGAACACCGCTCAGCCACAAGCTGGCTCACGGCTGGCGAGCACAGTGGCAGTGGTGGGAAGCGGGCCTGAGCTTTCAGTCGGACATCTCCCAAGGGCTCCCAGACTGGTAATGGTGCAGGCCAGGCTGAAGGGACCCACCCCTCCCAACCCACCAGTGCATGTCATGCACCGGGCCTCTAGTTAAAATATAATAGCAGTAGCAACAATCTGTTGTTTTTTAACCCAAAGAATCCGGTTTCAAATAACACATTACAAAAAACTGCCGGACTCTGAATCTCAGAAGCGTGTCTCCTTAGCTCTCATTTTCAAATATCTCTAGTTCTGTCATCACTCCCCAGATGTCCTGGAAACAAATCTCTTTTTTTCCCTCCGTGATTCCTCCACATTCTACATCTCTGAATTAAAAACCTCATTTTCCCACTAATAACTTTGGTCATAATCCCAACTTCCTTAAACACAGACTCAGTCGGGGATTGGGTTTGAAGCTCAAAGGACCGGTCTACACATGGCCTGTCCCGAAAGAAGCACAATCTCCCTTTCATCAAGCACCCCCGCTCAAACACCCAGCTCTCAGCTCAGAGACCAAGGCTGTCATTGGTAAGGATCAGTACCAGTACAGACTGTGTTTGATACCTATCGTATTTCACAATTATAAACAACATGTGTCTCTCTATAACACTATTCCTATTATCACTGCTTTTGCATCCCCATTTCCATTTGCTTATAGACATACAAAAATCGGGAATGTTTATTATTTGAGGCATTACTGAGGAGAATAATAAAATGCGAAAGGCCAATAAACCGAAGCCAGAAAAGCAAAAGATAATATTCTGAACCAGATCTATATGACAAACCAAAAGAAAAAAAATACAGCGTTTCAAAGAGTTAATAAAAGTAAAAAACAAAAAAGGCCAGATATGTCCACAGAGAACAGTATGAAGTAAGTGTCCCCTTGTGTTTCCGAGGCTGGTGAAATACAATGAAGAACGACCGGCAGTTTGAAAAGCACATGTATAAGCTATACCTGTACGTCTCAAGTCTTAATTCAAATATATTCTTGATACACCATTCTCTCCTTAGAAAAGAAGATTATTTTTAGTTTCAAGACTGAAATGAAAAGAAAAAGATAACCTCCAGGTATTTTTTAGGAGAAGGAAGGTCACAAATTATTAAAATAGCCACTTGATAAGAGACACGGCCCTATAATTAAATAACATTAAGAAATTTGTATCTGTCATAATCATACTAGGCAATCAAATTCAATTCAGTAAGTAATCACTGGTATTTTGTGTGGTTGGAGTAGCTGATTTTTTTATGAGATAACATGGGTTGAAGATGGGCATAATTTATACAGAGCTTAATAATTCCTTGAAGTACTCAGCATACTCAGGAGCACGTTTTTAAAATGTTTCTCAAGAATGATGAATACGACTATGAGAACCACGTTCCCTTTGGTTTTTCCTTAGATAGGTCTGATAGCAACTACTGCTTATTACTACGACTATATCTTAACGGGTGAACATGTCACTTCCTAATACGTATCCAAAGTTCCCTTATAAACAGGATTAGTATGTTTGCACAAAGCAATCTCTCAATATGTAAATATAATTAGCACATAGTAAGCTACAGATGGGTGGGTGTAGGAATAACAGACCTATCTCTTCATTTAATTCCATAATGACAAAATTTATTATTTTACACTCAAATACTTAGGTGGACTAAAACTCTTCAACGTAGTCCAAAAGTAATCTTTAATGATATTTATAAAAATTATTTAGAAATGCTTCCTCGGGAATCTTTTGCAATAAGCAGCTGAAATACTCTTTATTTTTGTTTGTTTTATTTTATTTAAATTCTTTATTGTTTAAAGTATTACATACTAGCATGTCTCCTTTTACTCATCAACTTTTTAAATATGCTGAGTTTTTAAAATAGCCACAGGAGGGCAGTATTTCCTAAAATATAACTTTAGATATAGGCATCTATTTTTTTTGCAATAAACTGCTAGACATCACAAATCAAATTTGAATGCAGCACGTGTTAAATTCGGGCAACAAAAAAATCACAGAATATCCTAACAATCACACACCTACAATTTAAAAAGAGCTTCTTATATTACTCCCCTGGATTCTCAAAACAGCATATAGACAAAATCTAAACCAATAGTATTTTGAAGAAGCAAACTATTGAGTTATTAATTGAACATTCAGAAAACAAAACAAAGAAATGAGATCAGGGTGTTGCAAACTAAAGCAAAACAGACGAGTGTAGATTCGTGTTAATCTATTAGACATATGAATCCGTTTCCAAATCCATGACACCATGCACGCTTACCTTGCCAACTATCATTGCAGACACACAGTTTTTCCCCTGTGAGGTCACAGTACCCGTGGTCAGGACTGCCGCAATTGGCTTTACAGTAGGGAATATCACAGGCCTCGCCCTTCCAGTATTTATCACATTCACAGTATACTTGACTTGGAACGGAGACACTCGTTGTACACTTCCCATGGCCAGAGCAATTGTTAGGACAAGAGTTGATTCTGTAAAACATAATTCATATATGTTCAAATTCAAGAAAACTGAAAAAGAAGTCTGGTTGATATTTTGTAGGCTTTGTAACTGTATGTCTTCTTATATATTTAACACAATTTCACAATGTGATGTCAACTTTTTATTCTGTACCCTTTTACCCCTAATGCAATTCAGTTACATTTATTTTCAACTGGCCTTAGTTCATTCAATGAGTTTATATGGCCACAGACATGTCAAACTTCCGAGGGCTACACAAGCAACATCTGCAGATACATGTAGTTAAACATACAATGCTCTATAAAGGCTTAAGAATGCAGATGTTTTGAATATATATTTTACAGAAAAAAATTAAATTCATAAATACTTGAAGCTACATGAGAAACCAAGATATAATTTGGTTGTATAATATTTAAATAGCATGCTACCATCTATACACTGTTATACAGAAACTAGAGGCCCGGCACACAAAATTCATGTTCAGGTACAGTCCCTAGGCCTGGCCTGCGATCAGGGCCATCTTCCCCGGCTGCCTGCAGCTGGCCCTGCCCCCTGCCACCACCCACCCCAGTTCCCCATTTACCATCAGGCGATTGGAGTCTAACAGCCAGGGGAAGGGATCAAGAGGTCGGCCGTTCCTGCTCACTCGCCAGCCCCACCCCTGCTGTGCGTCGCCCTCTGTGTGTGGGGCGGGGGGGGAGGGGCGACTGGCAGGGTGGGAGCCTTGGCCTGGTGCTACCCATGTGGCCTGCCATCCACCCCCAGTTCCCCGTTCATCATCGGGTGATAGGAGCCTGCCAGCCAGGGAAAGGGACCAAGAGGTGGTCAGTGTGCCTCATAGTGAGTGGTCGAGCAGTCGTTCTGGTCATTCTGCCATTAGGGTCAATTTGCATATTACCCTTTTACTATATAGGATGAGATGTTTGTCAAATATTATTTTAAGGCTCTTAACTGATTAAAAGAGTCTATTGAATATTTATTCTCCCTTGTATACATACTTGAGACAAATCAACTCTATAATAAATTGCAGATTCAAGATATTTAGAATGTTTTATTCCCGATGAAAAATTCTCTACACTTGTAAAGAAAAGGGGAGAAAATGTATGGAGTTCCTCTGTGCTGTTCTAGTAATGGCATTAGAAAGTGTCTCTGGCTACTTCCCTTCACCCTTGGACTCCAAGATTTTTTTTTAAATGGATATAGTGTCAGACACATAGTAGATGCTTAATACATATTTTATTTTAGAGGAAACAGTGATATAGTCATTACCTTATCTATGAAAGACTCAATTCCTCCCTGTGTAAAACAGGGGAAATGCACACATGTCAGAATTGTTGGGGTGAGAAATAAAGAATAGAGTGTACACAGAGCATCCAGTCTGGTCTGGATACAGAGGACTGTGAACACAGCCCACACCTGGAGCACAGGAGGGCAGAGGAGTTCCTGCTACGAGAAACGTTACCCTAGTTAATATTTGTTCACTTAATCATTTACCAATAATTTTAAATTTCATAATTAATTTTCAACAAACTTAACGTGCTCCCATTGTCCCGAAACTTAGGATTAATCCTAATGTGAGCTCAGACAGGATTCTGAGGCATGTTATTAATATTTGATGTCACTTATGATGTTGAAATGTCACACACTAGCCCGCTCCTCATATATATCTACAAAAACAAACAGTAAACTCTTTGAAGTCAAATTATAAAAATCCTTACAATATGATATTTCAGTAAAATTACTTACGAATAAAAAATGTTGAAACCAGTGAGATTATATGCAGCATCACTAAAAAAATGTAACAGTGCGTAGCCGGACGTTGTAACGACTTCAGGCACACTTTCATTTCCCCGAATCTCGGGGACTATCAAACCACTGTGAGAGAGGAAAATTAAACATTGTGTGTATTAGTATACATCTGACGGTCAATCACATAAAACATACTCAACAATATCTTTGTCAGGATCACTCAGAATCTCCATGAGAATGGGCGAACTAGAAGAACAGAGCTAAAACGGGTCCTCAGCCCATCCCCTGTACAGCAGCCGGCACGCTCACACCCACTCTGAGGCCACCACACTCCGATTTTCTTCTCACTGTTTGGACTGTAATGCCCCATCTCTCCCTTTGTCCTGCTACCACCCTGTCCGAATACTCTAAGATGGTCTTTTAGTTAACGTCATATAAAACCTGCACTTAAAGCGACCTTGGTATTCCAAGTGAGCGGTGGCTTTACTTTTTTCCCCCTGGTTAAAAATTCTGGTGAAAAGGTTGTGCAGTCGTCTCCACTATCCATCTCCAGGACTTTTTCGTCATCCCAAACATAAACTCTGTACTCCTTAAACGATAACTGCCCATTTCCTCCTTACCCATAGTCTTTTTTTAATGTTACGCCTTGTGTCGTTTTTCAGATCAGCCGTCGCCAACCGGTGGTCCGCAGACCACTGGTAGTCCATGAGGTCTGAAAGGTTGGCAACCACTTTTTTGATAATGATCCCTGCCTTGATTTTTTCCACTTTCTGTAATCTTCCTTACACCCCTTAATAAATTCAAGTGCACAAAAAAAAAAATTGACAACTGTCATACTCTTGGTAGCATTTATTTCCATCTGTTGAGATCTTGCTTCCATGTGTGTCCCCTGTTTAATTCAAATAAAGTTTTATAAAAATCCTAAAAAAAAAAATTCTGGTGAAGCTAGAAGGAACACCACACACGAGCTAAGGGACTGCAATGACATCCTCGTTAAAGTTGTCCGCTTCCAATATACTACTCCAGGTATTTTAGGTCATCTACCAGTAAGAATATATACTTTTTATATTTCTTTAAAGTTTTACATGCTCATACAAATTATATTAATACAGAACTATTGCAAATATACTGTTACTCACTCAAGGCCATACGCACACAAAAGAAAACAAACTTGTGGGGGATATAAATGTGCAAAAGTAAGAAATAAAGTTAATAACTGGTACTTCTTTTTTAAGCCAATTTGTTCCTGGAGAAAATCCAGATCTTCATTTACTTATACCACACTACTCTCTTTAAGTCTGTGGAAACATGCAATCTGAGAGAAAAGAAGCTGCTAACAACAAATTACCCCACTCCAAGGAGTCAGCTCCTTTACATGACTTTTAAGCCAGCATTTGGTCACCACCAGGAACGGATTACCTCAAATTTGGCAGAACAAAATAAAATATTGCTGGAGGCAAAGACCAACAATAGTTAGCATAATAAATGTGAGAAGTCCCTCAGAAGGCTGATGTACTTTGATATTCAGCAGGGCTGAAAATCTGCCTATTATTTATTACCTGCTGCTGGCTGAACAGCTGAAGGAAGTTCCCCTAACTTGATAATCCTTTATTGTTTACCAAATCTTACCTTTGATATGTGTGTTTGCTTTGCTAAAGGGCATATGTATATTCTAGTAAATAAAAGCAAAGGGGACAGAAAAGTCAGCAAACCACTCCACTAGAGAGTAGGTATCCGTCTGGCTCTCCCAATGCCTTCCAAATTTATATTTTTTATATAGTCTCTTCAATTATGCCACAGCCCCGTCTCTAGATTCCTGAACCCTTGCTGCGAAAAGACTGCAGCAAATATTATAGTCAAATAATTTATTTGGCAAATGCAGTCTCAAAAGCAAACAGAGTAATCCACTCTTGATGCTTTAACAATAATTATTACATCTATTAGCTTATGTTTGAGAAGGAACAAAAAATTTTAAAGGGAGACTGTCCATAGAATTCAAATGTTATAACACCAATCTTAGTTGCACATATATATTTTTCATTGTCCCAGTGAGATATCAAAATGAGTACACTGCTAAAAATAACACTCCCATGCCTTTATAATAAAAATAGTTAATCTCTCTGAAACAGATGAAAAGAACAGATTTATTTGCTTGCTTGTTTGTTTGTAAGTGTTAAAAGCATTAAATAAATAAGGGCTTCCACCTCTTGCACAGCACAAGCAATTTGGACCAACCAGCCCTGCCACTGACGTCAGCTAGAAAAATGACAAATTATATAAAAACAAACAAATCTGCCTGAATGCACTGGAGAACTAAGAGGGTGAGCCCAGGCAAGAGGGCCATTTCTCCTCATAGGCATTGCTGATTTCAAAGTTGGAAGTAAGGGCTGAAGAGCTAAGGAAATAGGTAAGTGATGGCGAACTTTTGAGCTCGGCGTGTCAGCATTTTGAAAAACCCTAGTGCCCTGTCACATATAGAAATTTTTTGATATTTGCAACCATAGTAAAACAAACGTTTATATTTTTGATATTTATTTTATATATTTAAATGCCGTTTAAAAGTGAACCAATAAAAGACAGGGCCTCCAGGGGACCACCCTACAGCTTGGACGTGAATCCCCTCAATACCTGAATTTGGATTCAGTTGACTGTGGATTGCTAGCATCCTTAGGCACCCTCTGTAGGACTACAGTATCTTTCAGATCTCAAATTATTGCTACATATGATTTTACAAACATGATGCCCAGCACATCATTGTCCAGCACACAATTTAAAAAAAAAAAGAAAGAAAAGAAAAGCTGCCCAGCTGGCACGGCTCAGTGGTTGAGCGTTCAACTATGAACCAGTAAGTCATGGTTCAATTTCTGGTCAGGGCACATGCCCGGGTTGTGGGCTCAAGTTGTGGGGCATGCAGGTGGCAGCCAATCAATGATTGTCTCTCAACATTGATGTTTCTATCTCTCTCCCCCTCTCCCTTCCTCTCTGAAATAATAAAAATATTTTTTCAAAGACTTCAATCCAATCCATTCTCTAAAATCTAAAAAGTCTTGCCTACAAAGTGCAATGTCTTTAGTGTGATAAACAAGAAAGCAATACTGCAGTGATTAAGGGATTATAAAACCTGACCTCATATTCTGACTCCATCACTTATCCGAGGGGCAACTTTGGGTCACTCACAGAATCTCTCTATGCCTCAATCCTTCGTTTAAAATAGCAGTAATGCCGAAACCGGTTTGGCTCAGTGGATAGAGCGTTGGCCTGCGGACTGAAAGGTCCCAGGTTCGATTCCGGTCAAGGGCATGTACCTGGGTTGCGGGCACATCCCCAGTAGGAGGTGTGCAGGAGGCAGCTGATTGATGTCTCTCTCTCATCGATGTTTCTAACTCTCTATCTCTCTCCCTTCCTCTCTGTAAAAAATCAATAAAATATATTTTAAAAAAATAAAAACAAATAAAAATTTAAAAAAATAAAAATATAAAATAGCAGTAACAATACCTAATATCAGGTCATTGTAAGGATTCAATGAGTTAATGTATGTGAAGCACTCTTGCACCCTGCCTGTCACATAATGAGCATTCAGTAGATATTGCCGACTACTGTTGGTGGGTAATCTGGCTCCTACCTATCCATCACATTACCTATAATGAAGTTACTAAAAACACTTACTACTATCTATTATCCCAAACTATAATATACTTTAGTGTGTCTACACCTTTGTGTATGTTTTTCTCTATCAAAATGACATCCTACCTGGTCCTCATACTTTGCCTATCATTCTACTCATGATGAAATTCACCATGAAGAATTACTTACTTCTTCTGAAATCATAGTGTGCTCTTTTCAAAATCTGATCATAACATTTAATGTGCTGTGCGCTCTATTTACATGTTGCCACCAGTGGCTAACTACTGTGTAGTGATATATCCCCCAAATCCTTGGGATTTCCCAAGGGATAGGAGTGTCTCTGTTATTTTCCTTTGGCCCTGATAGTTTATGTTAATGGAAGCTGGCTACACCAAAAAGACCAACCAGTGATTTAAAGGGTCCAAGCTTTGAGCCACAAGAAATCAATCTGACTTCCAGAGAGAGGGCGGGAGCTTGAGATAGAGCTGGGCCTTGTGTCCAATGGTTCAGTCACTCAGGCCTACATAACAAAAGCCCAATGAAAACTGACACCTGTAGCTGAGGTGAGCCTCCTGAATGGAGATACACGAGTGAGCTGGGAAGGTGACACATCCCGAGGACACAGATGGTTTGTTTATGACCCTCCCAGACTCTCCCTATGGTCGCCTCGCTTGGCTGGCTGTGATTTTTATCCTTCATGATAAAACTACAATGATATGAGCAGTGCTTTCCTGAGTTCTGTGAGTCATTCCAAAGAATTACTGAACCTATAGTGAGTGGCACTACTAAATTTGTAGCCAGCTAATCAGAAGTATAAGTGACCTCGGGAACTCCTGAACTTGCAGTTGGTATCTGAGCTAAGGTTTATGAAGGGCTGTGCACTCAACTGATGTTTAGCTTAAATCCAGTCATTGCAATACTCTTTATCTTATTTCTCACACCCTCCAGGCTTATGACAGCCTCTGGAACTGAGTGGGTTATCAAATATTTGTCATATAGGAAATACTTATGCAACTGGAATAATATGGACAATTAGATTCTGAATTCTTTGCAACATACAATTTAGCTTTTAAGTCACTAAACTATCAAGTCCCAATCCTGACCCTACCATCTATTATATGTAAAACTTAATTTCTCCGAGGCTCAATTTTCTCAACTGTAAAATGGGGAGAACAGTAACTCTTCCACAGGTCCTTGTGAGGATTACATGGCATTTAATTTTTTAAATTGATTTTAGAGAGAGGAAGGGGGAGAGAAACATGGATGTGAGAAGAAACATCGATCAGTTGTCTCCCACACGTGCCCCCTCCCCACCCGGGGATGGAACCTGAAACCTGGAACCTAGATATGTGCCCTGACAGGAATCAAACCAGCCACCTCTTGGTGTAATGGATGAAGATCCAACCCAGGCACACCAGCCAGGGTGGATTACATGACATTTAAACTGCCCACTATAGTGCTTTTCAATAAGCAGGATGTTTTCATCTCCCTCCGGACACCTAACAGGAACACTTGCTAATGAGAAGTCACTGGTTCTATCTTCAAGGTCATATACTAAATCCCATCTGCTAATTATCTTACAAAAGTTTCCTTCAGTGTCAAGAAGGGGTAGGTAAGAGTGTTAACAGACCACTGTTAATTAATGCAAAGTCATTACAACCACTGGAAAAACAAATGAAAAGGCGCACATCTAAATGACGGTCAGTCAATAGTGTCATAAAAATAGAGGAATGGCAGCTGAATGACATCTAAATTGCTAAAAAATAAATGATGAAGCCAGGACCTCATCTAATTGTCTCAATGAATTATCTTACAATGTGACTGTTCGGGAGGCTCTCCTTCATTTTCTATCTCCTACCCTTAGATGAAGGGCTAGTCATGGCTACTCTTTATATAATTTTCAAACATTTCAGAAATTAAGTTCTACAAGTATTTTGAGCAATAATAATATCACAGAACTGTGTCTAAGCTCCCAAGGAGTCATTATGAAACAGTCATTTGGAAATACAAGTCTTTACATGTTTGTCCAAAAAAAATTATAGTTCACATTCTGATACTAGTAAACCGAATATTGGCAACAAAAGAAAAAAGAAAATGAAAATTTTTATAGGGAATAAACCTTTATCTATGTTTAAATTTGTAACAATGACTGAACATATAAAAGATACTATGTAGCCCTAACCGGTTTGGCTCAGTGGATAGAGCGTCGGCCTGCAGACTGAAAGGTCCCAGGTTCGATTCCGATCAAGGGCATGTACCTTGGTTGCCAGCACATCCCCAGTGCGGGGTGTGCAGGAGGCAGCTGATTGATGTTTCTCTCTCATTGATGTTTCTAAATCTCTATCCCTCTCCCTCCTCTCTGTAAAAAATCCATAAAATATATTTTTTTTAAAAAAAGATACTATGTAAATAACAAAAGTAAAGAATAATGAGTAACTCTGATCAACAATCACATTCATTAACTTATACACAAAATCTACGCTACATGTTCATAATTTTCCCTATACCTAATATATGTCCTATTTGCAAAACATTTTATAATTTCTACATTCAAACATAAAGATTTTAAAAATGATATTGAAAATTATGTGGTTTTAAAATTAGGCCTGACTACTACTAATAAAATATTTTGAAGCAACCAAAATTCCCAAATTTGAGAACTGATGGACACAACCTTCTTTATTAAACCATTACATAAAGGATAATTTAACCTTTTTATAAAAATTGTAAATTTTATCATTTTGTGCCAAAATAAAAAGCCAACTATATATATATATATATATATATCCGTCTATTTATTTGTCAGCTAGAACTCGTGTTAATTTATTCAAATACTTCTGAAAACATCATCATATCACTTTAAAAGAATACACTATATACAGCAAAAAACAAAGGATATTCATTCAGAATTCTACATTTCTGATATAAAACTCATTTATCTCTACTATATCAATACCAACAT